AAAAAAAAAAAAAAAAAAAAGGGAGAGAGAGAGGGAAAAAAACAGAGAAGGCTTGGAAAGGAGACTCCAGAAGGAATGCTGGGAGAGGGTCCTTGGTGCAGAGGAGAGGAGCTTATGGAGACAATAAAGTGGTCATTCGTGTCCTGGGCAGCCAACAGTTGAAGCAGATGAGGGGAGCAAAGTCTGGTGGGTTTGACAATTTTTGTGGGCTGGGGCAGGTGAATCATAGACCACCAGGGTTTGACACTAAGCTGGCAAGAGGACAGAGATAGGACAAGAAGGGGCCCTGGCTAGGCAGATTTTCCTTGGGTGTTTTGATGTGAGAAACAGGTTTGTGATAGGAAGAGAAACTTAGGTGACAGGATGAGAAGGATTAGGGAACCCAGAGGAAGGAGCTGAGGGAGGGTCTGGACCCCACTGGGGTGGTCTGTCCAGGACTAGACAATGGGGGTCTTCAGGGCACAAGGAGACATAGAGACTCCAATAGTTGCTGGCAAGCTTTCCAGGCGAACCCAAGAGCTCCAAGGAATGAAGGCAGCAGAGGACAAACGGTTACCAGGCCCAGCCCTGAACGTGGGCCAAGAAGGGTGGGGGCAATGGCTAGTGGGTGGGAGGATGTTCTGAGATAGCTCTATTCCCCCAGGAAGCCCCAAGGTGGCCCCTGCCTGTGAAGAGGCTGAGCTTGCCCTCCACCAAGCCACAGCTTTCTGAAGAACAAGCTGCTGTGCTGAGGGCCGTCCTGAAAGGCCAGAGCATCTTCTTCACTGGGAGTGCAGGTAGTGGGGGCAGAGAGGAGGTAGGGGGACAGTGGTGGGGTGGGATAGAGGAACAGGGAGACCTGTCTAACTTTGCCCCGTCCAGGAACAGGGAAGTCATATCTGCTGAAGCGAATCCTGGGCTCACTGCCCCCCACAGGCACTGTGGCCACTGCCAGCACTGGGGTGGCAGCCTGCCACATCGGGGGCACCACCCTCCATGCCTTTGCAGGTAAGTGGGAACCCCTAGGGCTTGAGCTAAGAGCAAGCCCAGCTTCTGGGAAGGGAGAGAGGGGAAGTCTGCATTAAGAGGGGGTTTTGGGGGCTGGGCATGGTGGCTCATGCCTGTAATCCCAGAACTTCAAGAGGCCAAGGTGGGAGGATTGCTTGAGCCCAGGAGTTTGAGACCAGCCTGGCCAACAGAGTGAGACCCCGTCTCCACAAAATTTAAAAATTAGCGGCCGGGCGCAGTGGCTCATGCCTGTAATCCCAGCACTTTGGGAGGCCGAGGCGGGTGGATCACAAGGTCAGGAGATCGAGACCATCCTGGTTAACATGGTGAAACCCCATCTCTACTAAAAATACAAAAAAATTAGCCAGGCATGGTGGCAAGTGCCTGTAGTCCCAGCTACTCTGGAGGCTGAGGCAAGAGAATAGCGTGAACGCAGGAGGCAGAGCTTGCAGTGAGCCAAGATCGTGCCACTGCACTCGAGCCTGGGTGACAGAGTTACACTCTGTCTCAAAAAAAAAAAATTAGCTGAGCATGGTGGTGTGTGCCTGTAGCCCCAGCTGCTATGGAGGTTGAGGTGGGAGGATTGCTTGAGCCCATGAGGCCAAGGTTATCGTAAGCCAAGATCGTGCCACTGCACTTCAGCCTGGGCAACAGAGAGAGACCTTCTCGCAAAAAAAAAAAAAAAAAAAAAAAAAAAAAAAAAAAAAAGAGAGAGAGAGAGGGTTTGGGTATTAGCCCAGGCTAAATAGTGTCACTTACAGGCATCGGCTCAGGCCAGGCTCCTCTAGCCCAGTGTGTGGCCCTGGCCCAAAGGCCAGGCGTGCGGCAGGGCTGGCTGAACTGCCAGCGGTTGGTCATTGACGAGATCTCAATGGTGGAGGCAGACCTGTTTGACAAACTGGAGGCCGTGGCCAGGTCAGTATGTTCAGAGGGCAGCAGGTGAAAACTGGGACCTGGTGGTCTTCTGTGTGCCCCTAAAGCACCCCACGCTCCTCTCCAGAGCTGTCCGGCAGCAGAACAAGCCATTTGGAGGGATCCAGCTCATCATCTGTGGGGACTTTCTGCAGCTGCCACCTGTGACCAAGGGCTTCCAGCCCCCACGGTTCTGCTTTCAGGTACTACTCACCTCCTAGCTCTGTTCTCCTTAGGGGTCTGCTCTGCTCCTTGACCCACCCCCACCCTGCTCCCATCAGGCCAAGAGCTGGAAGAGGTGTGTGCCAGTGACCCTGGAGCTGACCAAGGTGTGGAGGCAGGCAGATCAGACCTTCATCTCTCTACTGCAGGCTGTGAGGCTGGGCAGGTGAGCTCTGCTGGATGGGGAAGGGGCTATGGGATGAGGATCCAGGCATGGGCCACAGTGGAACACAGGGAGGGACCCAGGGAAAGGGGAGAATGGTTACCCTGAGGAGCAAGCACTCCATGCAGGAAGAGCAGCCTTGGGCATGGCACTGGGCAACTCAGGATGGATTGTAGTCAAGACCTTCATGGCCCCATAGGAGATGGTCGCTCTGTGAGTGCCGGGACCCAGCCTCCCTCAGGGTTGGGTCTCCATCACCTAGCACAAGGCCTGGCATTAAGTAGGTGTCAGGGGGTGGGCGCAGTGGCTCACACCTGTAATCCTAGCACTTTGGGAGGCTGAGGCAGGTAGATCACGAGGTCAGGAGTTTGAGACCAACCTGGCCAACCTGGTGAAACCCAGTACCTACTAAAAATACAAAAATTAGCTGGGTGTGGTGGCACGCGCCTGTAGCCCCAGCTACTTGGGAGGCTGAGGCAGGAGAATCACTTAAACCCAGGAGGTGGAGGTTGCAGTGAGCTGAGATCACGCCACTGCACTGCAGTCTGGTGACAGAGCGAGACTCGTCTCAAAAAAAAAAAAGAAGAAAGAAACATAAGCTAGATTTTTCACCCAAGGTAGCAGGCAAGTAGACAGAAGATTGTACCCTGGAGGTCAGTCTGGGTCCTGCAAATCTCCTGCCTGTGCTCACTCATCATAGCCAACTTCCTCAGGAGCGTTATGGGGTGGGATGGTGGCCAGCTCTGACCTGGGGCAGCACAGGGAAGGGTGCCTACCTGTGATCAAAGCTCAGTACCCTGCCCCTGCTTATTCCCCATGTTTGGCGTCCAAGTTTGGAAGGGACAGGTTGGCCAGCTTGAGGGGGCAGCAACTATTCCCTGGTGCCCTCTTCCAGTCCCAAGGCCTGACCCATGGCCTGCTGCTTGAGCCATCCTGCCCATGTTCCCACCTTCCCTGCTGCACAGGTGGGCTCTGCCCTGACAGTCCAGCCCCCACAGGTGTTCAGATGAGGTGACCCGCCAGCTCCAGGCCACAGCTTCCCACAAGGTAGGGAGAGATGGGATTGTGGCCACGAGGCTCTGCACCCACCAGGATGACGTGGCCCTCACCAACGAGAGGCGGCTTCAGGAGCTGCCAGGTGAGCAGGGAGCCTGGGCTGGGCAAGACCAGCTGGGAAGGGTTATAAGCAGATGTGGCCCCCAGGCAACCTGGGCCTCTGGGTCCTAGGCCCCCAACCTCTGTAGTCATAAAGATCCTTATATTTGCAAATGCAACTGTGACTTTGAGAGGTATGATGAACTGAATTCCACAGCCCCCCAGGCCTGCGCTGCCTCTGCTCCTTACCCCTATGCTCTGGTCTAACAGTTTTTTTCTGGAGGTTGGGCACAGTGGCTCATGCCTGTAATCCCAGCACTTTGGGAAGCCAAGGCAGGCAGATGACCTGAAGTCAGGTGTTCAAGACCAGCCTGCCCAACATGGAAAAACCCCATCTCTACTAAAAATACAAAAACATTAGCTAGGTGTGTTAGTGGGCGCCTGTAATCCCAGCTACTCAGGAGGTTGAGGCAGGAGAATTGCTCAAACCCAGGAGGCAGAGGTTGCAGTAGGCCAAGATTGCACGATTATACTCCAGCCTGGGCGACAGAGCGAAACTCCATCTCAAAAAATAAAATAAAATTAAAAAAAAAAAAAAAGTCTTTTTTGGGATACTGAGTCACAAGTCAGTGATTTGTGATCTGCTTGCACAACTCTTTTTCTCCAGGTAAGGTACACAGATTTGAGGCTATGGACAGCAACCCTGAGCTGGCCAGTATCCTGGATGCCCAGTGTCCCGTTAGCCAGCTCCTTCAACTAAAGCTGGGGGCCCAGGTGAGTGGGAAGCAGGACCTAGCCCCTGGGAGCTTCGGCTGTCCCTCATGGGCCTTGCTGATCCCTACCCCTCTGCCCAGACCACTCTACAGCCAGTGGGTCCAGCTTTGACCACACTGAAAACCTCCCTGCCTCCTGTTCCCACCCACCTTCCCATCTTCAGCTTTCTACTGTTTTTCTCTACCTACACCAGGAGGTCCTCCAAACAGTGTTGTTTTGGGCAAGTTTCTTTCCCCTGAAGCTCTGTCCCCTCATCCCTAAAACTGGGGAATGAAATACCTACCCCACACAGCTGTCTTCTGTAGTATACTTTATAAATAGGAGAGAGTCCTGATTCCTCCCCCGATGTTAGGGGTGGGCAGAAGATTTTCCTTAGGGCACCCAAGGGGAAAATACAGGCACAATGTATCTGAGAGGGGTGGCAGGACCTAGAGGCCATCCCTCAAGATTTGTGGTCCACACATGTACCTATAACAGAGCCGATATTTTCAAAGCCCTGTAATAGAGGTTGCCTTATTGATCCCTTACCACCTCCTTCTGGGGCAAATGGAGCAAGTATTATTCCTCTTTGACATAAAGGAAAACTGGGACCGAGGAAAATAAGGCAACTTGCCGCAGGGGTCACAGGCAGCCAGTGGCAGAGCTAAGGATTGGGATTCAGTGTCGCCATGACAACTCCCTGCCCTCAGCCTCTGAGAACAGCAATGGCTAAGCTAAGACCAGGCATGGGTAGGGGGGCTGCTGTCCATTCCTCTCCCTCCCTTGCAGGTGATGCTGGTGAAAAACTTATCGGTGTCTCGGGGCCTGGTGAATGGCGCCCGAGGGGTGGTAGTCGGGTTCGAGGCAGAAGGGAGAGGTAAGTGTTGGGAGCAGGTGGCAGTCCTACTACAGGGTTTGCAGCATGGCCCCCAGAATGGTGGGGGGAGAAAAAGACTAGGAAGGAAAGCTCCAAAGGCCCCCCTGCTGCTCACCTCAGAGCCCTGAAGCAGAGCTAAAGTTAGACTGCTTCTTGCCCTCCTTAGGGCTACCCCAGGTGCGGTTCCTGTGTGGAGTCACTGAGGTCATCCGCGCTGACCGCTGGACGGTGCAGGCCACCAGGAACCAGCTCCTCAGCCGGCAGCAGCTGCCCCTCCAGCTGGCCTGGGCGATGTCCATCCACAAGAGCCAAGTGAGCACCGGTGTGGGGGGTGGGGACAGGGCAGGCATGTTGGGGTCTATGTGTCTTTTTTTTTTTTTTTTGAGACGGAGTCTTGCTCTGTCGCCCAGGTTGGAGTGCAGTGGTGTGATCTTGGCTCACTGCAACCTCCGCCTCCCGAGTTCAAGCGATTCTCCTGCCTCAGCTTCCTGAGTAGCTGGGACTACAGGCACGTACCACCGTGCCTGACTAATTTTTGTATTTTTAGTAAAGATGAGGTTTCACCTTGTTAGCCAGGATGGTCTCGATCTCCTGACCTTGTGATCCGCCCGCCTCGGCCTCCCAAAGTGCTGGGATTACAGGCGTGAGCAACTGCACCCGGCCCTTTTTTTTTCCCCCCACCATTTTCTAAGCCACTACTAGATACGTTAAATTGTATAAATTGTATACAACCATTGTATAAAGTATAGATATAATGAATAATCAATACTATTTTGCACAGAAAAAAACCAGAACTCAGAGAGGTTAAGGAACATGTCCCATGTTATACAGTTAGTGAGTGGCAGCCTGGATTCAGCTCCACGCCTGTCTGACCCAGAGCCTGAGCTCTTTTCTTTCACTCCATCCCTCAACTCTTACCTGGATCTGTGTCCCCCAGTTCCCCTCCTACTCAGACCGCCACTTGCTGTCATGCTCTCCCTCTGTCTAGAGACTCTCTGGACTGGACAAGGAGATCCAGGGGCAGTAGCAGGGCTGGTAAAGAGTCAGGCCCTTCAGAGCAAGGGACTTCAGACTGAGCTGGCTCCCTCTCTGTCCCTGCATCCCCCAGGGCATGACCCTGGATTGTGTGGAGATTTCTCTGGGCCGTGTGTTTGCCAGTGGCCAGGCCTACGTGGCCCTTTCCCGGGCCCGTAGCCTGCAGGGCCTACGTGTGCTGGACTTTGACCCTGTGGCGGTTCGCTGTGACCCCCGAGTGCTGCACTTCTATGCCACCCTGCAGCGGGGCAGGGGCCTCAGTCTGGTGAGAGGGAGTCATCTAATGATGGGCTGTGGCCATAGGTGGGGTGGGGGCAGGAGAGCCCTCTACTGGCTCCTTTGGGGGTGAGGGCAAGAGGAGAGAGATGCTGGCCCCCAGGTTATGGCCCTGGGGAACACCACAAGCCCATGACTGGGCTTCTCTGGCTCTGATCCAGGAGTCCCCAGATGATGATGAGGCAGCCTCAGACCAGGAGAACGTGGACCCAAACCTCTGAGCCTCACCTGCAAAGAGAAGACAAAGGGTGGCCTCCCTGTCCTCCTGCTCCCTAGTGGGCCAGGGCCCCAGGGAATAACTGGAGGAGGCGGGCAGTGTCCCCTTCTGTATTTTTTAGGGGTTCTCAGCCTCCTGGCAGGGTTAAAGGGAGAGTGCTTTAAACCCACGTACCAGCTGTGCTTCAGTTTGCCCTGGGTGAGTTGCTTCAGGGTCAGAAGTAACCCTTTCTGTGCCAGTTGAGAAAGAGCCTGTGTGGTAGCTGGTGTTAGAGGACAAAGCTCCCTGCAAGGGCTGGACACAGAGCTGCAGAGTCCTGAACATCCCTCCTTTCGGGCTGCAGAAGGGAGCGGCAATGAAGACAGGTGCTCTGGAAGCAGCGTCAGGGCTTTCGGAGGGGACCTGGGGGGGACTCAGGCTGGGTACAGCCTCCAAACAGAGAACGGAACTTAGGTATGTCTCCACGGCTAGGCCCAGCCTAGCGCAGCCCAGAACAAACACCCTTCAGAGCCTAACTGAAGAACATAAGCTGCAAAATGTGCACCCATATTTTAAGCTGCTTTTTCAGGGGATAAATAGTGTTTGGGGACATTGAAATGGATGTTCTCAGGTTGTATTTATTTTGGACAAATAAACTAGAGAATTGTGTAAAAAGTGTGCCTCTTGCCTCCTCTCTCTCCGTCTCACTTGTGCACGTGCACATAGGCATTTGCTTAGGCCACAGTGGCTGAAATCACACCCTTCTGTGGGGTGGTCTTAGTATCACTGGTCATTTGAAAAGCTGAGTTATCTGCTGTTGGTGACTAGCAATAAAATGACATTGTCACTGGGCATGGTGGCTCACGCCTGTAATCCCAGCACTTTGGGAAGCTGAGGAGGATGGATCACCTGAGATCGG